AAAATAAAATGATGTCATCATACTAAAATTAAATTTACTAAAGAAATTTGAAGTTTTTGAATCTATAATCTGAGTATCTAAAGGTGTACATTTATGCAAAATGAAAATAGAAAAAGTAAAGTCGTAATATGAAATCTATGACTCTTTCTATAGCGCTGTTTGAGCTCCATTTTGGGCTAAACGTGTATTTTAGAATTGTAAATTGATGAATAATATGTGGATAAAAAATAAAAAAAAATTTGGATTTGCATGTAATATTATTTTGTTGAAAAATGTCGGGTTAAAAAAAACAGAGAGAAAAATATATTTTAAAAATAATGGAATCAAACAAGGGCATAATGAATTTTGCATAAAGTTGTAGATAAGTTATCATGTGGTGGATATACTAACAAGTATCTACCCTGTCAGCATGACAATGCATAAAATTTGATATGCATTAAATAAATGTGATTATAATTAATTTATCTTATATAAATTTAATACTATCATTGAAATATTTAATATGTTTGAAGCATAATTTAAGTGATAGTATGATGAGTGAGTAAATATGCGTTGTACTCTTTTTTTACCAAGATTTTGTCTCATTGTATTTTCTTGGTAAGGTTTTTAATGAGACAATTCTTGCGGTGTACTCAAAAGAATAAATGTACTCTTTTTTCCTTTATTAGGATTTTTTTCTACCAAGGTTTTTCCTAACAAGGTTTTAACGATGTACATTTTTTTGTGTAATGAGTGTCCATAACATAAAATGTATTTTTCCTCAAAATAATGCTTTTGTATGCATAAAACTTCTAAGTCCCGAAGATCAACATGATCTATTTTTTGAATCATCATGTTACTATAGTCATCACGTTTTGTCCCATTGATTTTTCTTGAAGATATTAACATAAAAGATATCAATATCAATATCGAAGACAATGACATACAATACATGAATTGAAATTAGGGGGGAGTAGTTGTACTTTTTTTCTTTGATCAAGTTCTGTTCCATTGAATTTTCTTGATAACGAACAAAAGAATTATAAATCTGCAAAATAATAAATTAAAATACCGCAAATAGAGCCATTGTGAGTTGCGACAGCTATCATAGGAGTCGTTTCTTACTCGGGAGATGGCATTTTATTACTCCAAATTATTTGTATTCTTTTTTATTTGTTGGCATTTTTGTCCAATCGAATTTTTGACAAATAATATCTCAATGAATAGTTATTGTGTAAATAGTCATTTAAAGGGAAATAGTGTAAATATAGTAGTATTTATAAATGATTTTTATACCCCTGCGCAATAGTCATTATAATTATTGTATCCTTTATAGCCCTAATTCTTTCCTGTTAATACGATGCTTGATTATTAATAAAACACACAAATTAATTGGATTCTCCTTTTTGTTCTCTCTTTTTCTCTCTCTAATTTATAACAAATATAAGGCTATAAGTCATAATATTTCTCCTCCCAACATCTTTAATTGTGGAACTGTAGATATTTTTTTTGAATAAGATGGTAACAATAGATCTGGTTTGGGACTCTTAAGGGGTTTGGGTATAATAAAATTATTACTACTAAACATATAATTAAATTAAAGTTTGTATGTATTTTTGTGTGTGTGGATATAGCCCTTGTTTAATCTCCATTATTTTCAAAATACATTTTTTTTTCTTTTTTTCTTTTCGACCACACATACTTCAAAATGCATTTGCTATTATTATGGTTTCAATACATGTTTTGTAGTCAAGGGTGTGTGTGATTTATTTATTTATTTTAGTCAAATTCGGCACATTGAAGATTGAACAATAATTGCATCCATCATCCAACATTTTCTAGTACAATTCTAACTAATAGAATAGAACAGAAGAGATTATCATCCTCTTACAGTGTTTGTCATGGTTGACAATTTTTCTTCATACTTGCTTCTTCTTTGGTCCAAATGTTGTGTCATTGGGTTAGAACACAACATCAAGGTTGTGACAATTGAAATTTTGTGGATATGATTTTTGCAAACAATGATAGTTAATGGGATTTTGATTGAATCAAACTATAATGTAGGGTCGTAATGAAACAACATATAATTCACAACCAACCTATCCGTCTTTGCCATTTTTACAGCAAAAGTAGTTCAAGATTGGCCAGACATATAACGAAAACAATCGACATTGCAATTTCGGACACGATTTGCACTATTATGAAGGTTATTTTTCAAAAACCAACAAAGAGAAAGGAATTTTGCAAACTAACAAATATATTTTCCGCAACTAAAAAAATCTTCGACCCGAATTATTTTATGTCCAATATATGTTCTTAGAATCCATCTTCCTCCACGAATGGCAAAATAGCATCACAATTAACCGAAAGTTCATTCTCGATTGAGTGATTTCAAGAATGTAAAAACTCTAGAAATTTTCCTCCAAACATTTAATTTTGAATTTTGGGATGAATTTTTGGTTTTAGAAAGTTTACAAAGGGTCGTTGGATGTGGTCTTTTCATTACTCTAGTCGATCACATCACATGTATTTAAATAAATGAACAAAACTCATTGCTCTCGAACTGAGTAAAGTGATTTAACCCTTCAATGAAACTACAATGGGATAAACGCTCAAGTCCTAGTTCTAAAGATTACGCCCCGTTTGGCCCCCACTAAATTACATTTCATTTTCTCTCTTCTATTTCAAATATACAATCTTTCTTAAAATAATATTACAGGTAAATCAAAAACTTTTTTTATTTTTTCAATCACTCATTTAAAAAAAAAAAAAAACACTATTTCTCCAAACGGAGATACATTTCATAAATAACAAACTCACTAAAATATTTCAAAAATCAGGTGGTAATTAAACTTATTAGATATTAAATTATAATATAATACACATTAATTATTTCCACCTCATGCCACCTCATCCCCACTATTCTACATTCCCTTTACATCTCCACCAGAGATAGCCATCGGCTTCGGTCTGATGGCTATTCCGGCAAACTGCTTCGACGGCTACTTCGGTAATCGCTCCGAAGACCACTCTGAAGATTGCTCCGACGACTATTTCGACGATTGCTCTGACCCTAATGATTAAAAAAAATCTCCAAAAATTGAAAACTATTTCTCTCTCTCTACACTCCACTGTATTATAATCTCCAAAATTTTATCTTTCACCAGATTTATTGTTTGTGAGCACACCTATCCAATAAATTTCCAAACCACTGACATGTGTTATCTGTGACTAATTTTGACCAAAATTGTATTCACTATGATTTTTTGTGATCAAGTCAGTATTAACTATGACGGTATGTGATCAAGTCACAATCAACACAGAATTGATCACAACTTTCGTAATAAACACGTACTTACCCACAAAGAGTCCCACAAATAAATTTTCATACACTGTAGACCAGTACCACAATCTACCATCAGTCATTACAACCTTCACCTCCAAGCGCCCTTTTTTATAATGACTTGGGTCTTTGTACCCAAATCGTTAGCTTACGTACTGTCTGCTTTGGGTGAGCCTTGCGCCCACTTACCCCTCACAGCTTTCTGTCGCGTCCCCAATGATTCGAACTTATAACATTTCCCTTATGTAAGACTTAAGTTGAATCCGAGTACCAATTGGGCAAGACCTGTGTTATCTGTGACTAATTGTGACTAACTTCATCTTCATTGTGACTATCTGTGACCATATCAGTCTAATTTGTGATCGTATGTAAACAAGTCATAGTTAATATAATTCTGGTCACAGACAGTCACAATAAAAATAGATTTGGTCACACCTGATTTTCGTCGTCACTACCACTTCGGTACTACCACCAGTCCCAACGTCAACCAAATGTGCATCCACGGCACACACACAAACCCACCACCAACGCATCCAACCACACACTATCACTACCACCAACCAGATTTGAACCCACCAACCCACCACATCTTCATAACTGGTCAAACACTACTACACACTGATAGTGCCATCACAACGTCGCCAACAACACTACACCCACAGCACCCACACCTACCACCACCATATCTAACCATACCACTATCTCACCACACCGTCATGCCCAAAAACCCAAGTCGATATCAAAGGATTGTAGCGTCACAACAAAGGACTACAACATCGACATGTAGGACTGCAGTGCTACGAAGGACTGCACCGTTTGTAGAGTTGGAATCAGTGTTGCCCGACGCGTAACTGAGAAATCTCAACAGCCTCCGATGCTAAAAGCGTCATTCGACTCATCTCCTTTGTCACTGGTTGCCAGAGATCCAAGGGCCCATACCGATGGAGCCACCGCCTCGACCGGGCTGTGGTTTGTTGGAGATCCTCGTATTGAGTGAATGGAATAAGTTGGGTGGGGATGAGGTGAGGAGAGAGGGAGGGGAAAAAGGTTGGGGGTGATATATGTATATTAGGTGTAATTAAATTTTTATTAATTTTAATTATAATATCTAATTAACAACTAATTTGTGAAAATGAAACTTAACTCCTTGTTTTTTGATAATGAATTTTTAAATGTAAGTTTCCAGGTAATTTTATCAACTATAATTTCAACCAAATCCTTTCAGTTTATCAAATTCAATTTTTCTTTTTTGAGAATTTTTGCTTGGTCTCAGGTTTGAGTCCCATCGTTTCCTGTACGCAGGCGCCTCAATCTCATAAAATATCCAAAATGAAATTCCTGTTTGATGGGAATTAGAATTAGATTTTAGTAAATTTTAATAAAAGTTATGAAATATATGGAATAAAAGTTGTGGATCCTGTCAAATACGTGATTAAAATTAAACGATGACTTTTAAAGCCTGTTTGAGCCCAATTTTTTTGTTGAATAATACACGTTGGAATAGCAGATAGATGGATATTTTATGGTTGAAAAATAAGTAAAATTTTTGAATTTACGTGTAATATTATTTTATTGAATAATGAGTGATTAGAAAAAATGGTGGAAAAGAAAATAGAGAAAAATATATTTAAAAATAATGGGCTAAAACAAGAGCATAATTTCTAACAAACAAACGGGAGCAAAAATTTCTTTCAAATCCGTTGACAGTCACTCTCATTTCATAACGCACTGTCAAGCCCTAAATATAGCCGAAGCAAATTCTCCCAAGTTATCAAACACAAAAGTAAACAGGAATCAATGGCGTCATCTAAAAATTCAGCGGAGGCAACGCCGCCGTGGCCCGAATTGCCGCGTGAGATCACGGCAACGATTTTACACAAATTGGGAACATTTGAGATACTAACGAGCGCACAGAAAGTGTGTACTACCTGGCGGAGTGTGTGCCAGGACGTGACCATGTGGCGGGTCATCGACATGCGCAATTTAGGCGATCTCTGGCCAACGCCTTACGACCTTGTAAAGATGTGCCGCCACGCAGTGGATCGCAGCAAAGGCCAATTGGAAGATATCAATATTGAGTATTTTGGTACCGATGATTTGCTTACCTACATTTCTCAGAGGTAAAATCCTTTTTGGTTTTTCCCGTTTTTCCTTGCTAGGTATATTTGGAATTTTTTTTTTTTTTGGTTAATACAAATGGATTAACTTTAATAACACGTACAGGTGCTTAGCTAACGGAAAAATGTTTTTTATGCCTGATTCTTTGTTATGTATTTTGTTTGGTCCATAGAGATGGATTAATTTAGGTTTTCTTGTGTGCATGCTAGAAGTTGTTTGCGCCAATGTAACTTTCTCTGGCCTCTTAACAAGCGCAACAATCACATTATTTCAAGCAAATAGCCGAATTAACTTAGTTGCATTCTTAACATTGTTCTAGTCTTGCAATTATTTTTAACTTTGTTTTTTATGACTTTCACTTTCCCACTTATCCTCTTATCTAATTAGTAAGTCTTAAAGATTAAGGGGGTGTTTGGGAGCCATTTTAAGTAAAAATGCATTTTTGAATAGTAAATTTATGGAAAACGTGTGGTTGAAAAATAAGGAAATATTTTTGATTTACGTGTAATATTATTTTAATAAAGAATGTGTAGTTGAAAAGAAGAGAGAGAAAAATGTATTTTGAAAAAAATGAGGGCCAAATGGCTCCTAAATGTGTAACTGAACTCATTCCTATATTGTTACAGTTTTTAGCCTTCTTTAGTCTATTAGTTGTGTAATTGAACTAATTCCTACATACATTTTCATGTCAACAACAAGCATCTTGTTGCTGTATTATTGAATGCCTGTGCATAACTTGCTGTGTTATTTACTAGAATAGTCCACGCCACTGTACCTCTGCAGGTGGTCTGGATTTTAATGGGCGAACTTAACAATTTTTATGTTCACATTGTCCATGATGTGATAATGATCTTTACAGAAAAAATGAAAATAAATATTATTTTGGGTTCCTTAAAAGTGAAGTTTCTGAGAAGATAAGCTCGACCCCTGTTCCTCCTGACGTACAAGGGTGATTGGAAAAGAATCAATTGTAGTTGCGGTGTTACAAAGATCACTGTCTCTATATTCTGTGTATATTAATTCACTGAAATATATCCTCTTCACTTTATTTTCAAATTCCTTGATCTCTATTTGCTGAAATTTTGTATCACGTAGTTGCTGATGCAAGATTTTTCATCTTTCTGGTATGTATATTAACCCCAAATTGCCTTGAAATTAAGTTGTCATCCCTACACATTTGTCGTGTCTAAGTGCATTAATCTTTCTGTGTTGGTGGACAAGGTTAACCTTTTACATTATTTTGAGACCACAGATTCTTCATTTATATAATTGTGCAACATCTACATGATGTGTAGGTACTCATTTCATGTTTTTGCTGATTGCTGATACGTCGTTATTTGCTTCATATTAACTTGTTCCAACAGCTCCAATCAGCTCAGACGGCTTCGAATTGTATTTTGCTATAATATAACATGTGAAGGTCTGGTTGAAGCAATTAAAAGTTTCCCATTATTGGAGGAGTTGCATTTATATTACATTTACATTGACAAAGAAGCTATCGAAGTTATTGGATGTTCTTGCCCACTGTTAAAGTCTTTTAAACTGAACAACCAAGGATCTTTATGCCCGGATGTTGAGTGTGATCTGGAGGCCCTAGCAGTAGCAAAGAACATGCCCAACTTGCACCACCTTCAACTTTTTGGAAATAAGATGACAAATGAAGGCTTGCTGGCCATTCTGGATGGCTGTCCTCTTTTGGAATCACTTGATCTACGCCAATGTTTTAATGTTTCCCTCGGAGGAGATTTAGGAAGATTGTGTTCTCAACGGATTAAAGATCTGAAGCGGCCCTTTGACTCAACTGATGATTATGGATTTAATGCTGAAATTGATGATTGGGAGTCGTTTGATGAGGATGACCTATCTGGATTTTCTGACATTGACATGGTGTCCGATTATGATGATTATTTTGAGTTCTCTGATGGCAGCGGTGCTTCATATTATGAAGATGAAGAAGACGTGTTCATTGACTGAGGGTAAAGATTAAAGAAAGCATGATACCTGATATCTTCTCCCACCGAAGATCTTTATTGGTAATATCTAAGTTATAGCAGCTTTTGAGTAACAGATCTTGTTCTTTCTCTTAGGCTACTGGGAAGGTTTTGTTCCTGTTGTGGTTGCTGGTCATCAGAGTGGTTTGCTGCATTTCACTTTATGGGCACCTTCGGTACAAGGTGTTGCACGGGCCTGGATACTCTAAATAGTTGACATTTTAAGTTTCTATTTCTTGTTTAACGCGGTCCGATATTATCGTATTCAGTTTTCATCTTGGTAAACATTTCATTTCTTTTGAGTTTATTTTAATATTAGGTGAATTGAGTTAAAAAGGCAAGTCAAACTAAACATTAGTTTAAGGAGACCACCATCTAAGGTTTTTGTTTAAAAGGCCTAAAGTTATTAAACATGGAAAATTCAATTTGTAAAGGACTAAAATGTCCTTATAACGATATTGAATTCGTTAGTGAAACACAAGACGACATCTATATCGTTTCGATATTATAAACACACTGCTTAATTGATTTGCGTAACGATATTGAAATCGTTCTTAAAATAAAACGATGATGTGTATGTCGTTTTAATATAAAAAGGGGAATTATCAAAAATGACAATTTTTTTAAAATTACTATAAAACTTTTGAGGCGCACTAAATTTTATCAAAAATGTCACTTTTTAGTGGAAAATGTCCAAATTACCTTTAATCTCCCCTTTTTTGGAGCATTAAATACTCATTAATGATAGTCTCCAATCCAATTAATTGTAATGATTTTATTATTTAATTTGTATATTATAATGATTTGGTAAATGTATATTATATTGTATAATATGAATTTACTAAAAAAAAAGATAAAAGATGTAAAAAAAAATTCCAGAAAGCAAAAAAAAGATTAAAGAAGCAAAAAAATCCTACTTCACATCAAATACATCCCTTTTTGAAGAAACCCTCCATTTTCTTTCATCTTTTTTATTCCTTCATCAACAATATATTGCTATTCAATTCATCATCCATTTTGAGAGGTTAGTTATTACAAATTATTTATATTTTTATCTAATATCTTATTATTTTTCACATATTAAAAGCAACATGATCATCAAAGTAAAGAAAGCATTTAAACCACTATTAATGATGATGATATTGATATTTCTTTTTGATATCATTTTAAAGGGAAAATATACCAAAAATATTTAGGCAAATGTCAACTATTCCATATTTAATGAAGCAGTCATTTATTTATGGAGATCTGTAGAGCAATGGAATAATTGTTGTAGTTGAGAATTGATTATAACCATTAATATTTCGGAGAAATTAACAAACAAACACGTCTTAAACTTGTCGGCGGTCTCGATAGTTTATCTGTCGATCTCGACGGTTAGACATGTTGATCTCGACATTTAGAAACTGTCGAGATCAACAGATAAACTGTCGGGATAGAGTTTTCAACTGTCAAAATCGACAGTTGAAAACTGTTGACACCCTTCATTTCACATTCTCCTATTGCATCGGTTTAAATATTCGAAAGTGCCCCTTCCATGCTATTACATATCGACATATTGATTGTTCATAATTCTTATCATTGTAATCCCTTTATTTTAGATATGAACACTCATTTGAGATTTATCGTGTCGCATGGGGGAAGGTTTATTCACGCTGATGACGAATGGAAATGGACAGGGGACAAAATCACATCCACTTTAGTGTCGAAAAATATTACTGTAGCCGGATTTTTGTTACAGTTGAATGACAAACTTGGCATTATCGATCCGCACATAGAAATGGAATTGAAGTTCAAAGTCCCGAACATGAATATACCGCCAGCTGAAATACGTGAAGATTAAGACCTCATGTGGTACATATCTGTTCATACGGAAACTGCTCTGTGCGTTACTATTTTGGAAACTAATATGCGAACTGTTGACATGGGGAGGGATACGAATTTGCGTGACCATTCATTTGCCGCAACGAATGTTCACCAGAACTTAGAACACGATAACATGAATCATGAGCCTAGTTCCCCAATGAATAATGCAATCGAAACAGCGAATTTCGATGATGGGGCCGCACCTGTAGACGATATGTTGGACGACCCATTTAATGGTACAGATGCTGCTAGTATTGCAGACGTTGACGCCTGAATGTCACGACAACATATTCGTTTGGGTACAGACCAATGGATTACAGTTGTGCATACATCCGATCTTGTTGAACGGTAAATATTCTTAAGCAAGAAAGTGCTGTACTCGAAAATTGGTGTACTTGCTTTGCAAGACAAGTTCCAATTTCATGTCAGCAGGTCAAGCAGCAAAATGTTAATTGTTGCATGCGTGGACCGTAATTGCAAGTGGATGTTACGTGCTTCGAGTGTGAAACAGACTTCTATATTCATGATCCGAAAATTCAACAATGTGCACACATGTTCGGTAGATATCCGTCGTAACGCACATCGACATGCCATTACTTCTGTAATTGCCGAGCACATTTTGGGAAAATTGGATAATCCATACCGGTCGTACGATCGTACCGCTATTGCACGTGATATAGAACGCGAGTTTGGTGTCAAAATAAGTTACCAAAAAGCACATAGGGGAAAGTGGCTGCTTTACATATGCTACATGGTACATCGGGAGATAGTTTTCAAAAATTACCTTCATATTGTCACGTTCTAGGAGAGCGTAACCCGGGGACAGTAACCCATATCGAAGTTGATTCCCGTAATAGGTTTCATTACTTCTTCTTAGCTTTCAGTACAAGCATTCGTGGTTACATGCGCTACTTGAGGCCTGTTATTTGTGTTGATGGTAGTCACTTGAAAGGTCCATACAAGGGTACACTTTTGCAGGCAACCGGCCAAGATGCCAACAAACAGATATATTCCTTGGCATGGGGGATTGTCGATACTGAAACAAATATATTATGGATGTAGTTTATGTCCAACTTGAAAGAGCTTATAGGCGACTCTGCTGAATTGGTTTTTGTTTCCAACCAGAAAATAGTATTTCCAATGTCATTGCTCACCTATTTCCTCAGTCGTGTCATGGGTACTGTATCTGGCATCTAGAAAAGAACTTAGTCCAGCGGTACAACAACGCAAGTGTAATATTTCTATTCAAACGAGCTGCACGAACTTATCGGGTCGAAGAGTTTGAAAGACTTATGGGACAGATCCGTAGGGTAAGTGTAAGAGTATACGGGTACTTAGATCGAGCAGGTTTCTCCTTTTGGTCACGAGCACTATTTGTTGGTCAAAGGTACAACATTTTGACAAATAACAATGCCGAATGTTTGAACTCAATGTTGAAACATGTCCGTTCATTACCGACCACGTGCTTGGTCGAACACATTCGACAAACTATGCAGAAGTGGTTTCACGAACATCGAACCAGCGCAACCACATGTACTGCCATGCTGTCGTTGAGGATGGAGAACGAGTTACGGATAACGTTTGAAGCAGGTACAAGGCTTCGAGCTCGTGGCTTGACAGAACACTTAACACAGGTTGGAATATCCAATGACACGGATATCGTCGACTTCTCTGATAACAGTTGCACTTGTCGTGAGTTTCAAATTAATCGTATGCCATGCATTCATGCCACTCGTGCTGCGTGCTTGCGAGGTATGTCATTGTACGACTTATGCTCACCGTATTACACATCGGAATACTAGAGAGGTGCGTATAGTGAAGCTATATATCCCGTTATGTGTGAAGTGGATTGGATAGTCCCAAATGAAATTACAGGTACTCCTATTAGGCCACCCAATGTACTTCGTCCTCCAGGTAGACCACCCACAAGACGTCAGCGATCCAGATTCGAGTCCGTCACACGACTGAGGAAATGCACTCGCTGTGGTGGATTAGGTCATAATCGGAGCACATGTTCTAACCCTATTGTACTACAGATCGTTTAAATAGGCATTTGTAATAAATAGGCTTTTGTTCGAAAGTGGTTGAAATTGTATGTGAACTGGTACCCCCATGTCGTTTGTAATGAAAGAATGTAAATGTTCTCATTTTGTTATCATTGTCGTTTGTTTGTTGACATTAGTGTTTCTTATGATCGCAACTAATTACAAGATATTGTAGTTGATATCCCTTCAAAACATCTCGACAGTTAAACTGTCGGCCCCAACAGATGGTTACAGAGTATATAATCTGACTTGTCCGAAATATTTATGCCTGCATGACTACACTGTTACCCATTACACTCTCTACTTACACAGTTATTTTGAAGCATAACATTTCATTTACATTCCATTCTCATTTCTTAGCAGCAGACGTCGTCTTTTAGTTTAGCAACAAAAAAAATGGTATGTTTCAAGGACGATTTAGGGCTGACCTGATGAGTACTTTTTCCTTACGGACTGATTCATAAGACGCCACGTACATATACACACCTAACTCTACCTACAAGGAATTTTAAAAATAACTTATTTTTCGATGCTTCCAAGTTGATGTGTTAAGCCCAAACTAAATAACCCGACCAACCTACATTGTCAATAAAGTACGCTTGTTCATTCCAGGGTACGTCAATTTTCAGTAAACAAGGGAGCCATACAGGGAAACACAAGTTTCATACATACACAGATGAACCTATGCTCTTACATCCCGACAGTATACATGCCGTTCCCGAAAGATTGTTTCTGTCCTTGTCCATTGTAGGTCCAATACCAAAATCTACCAAAATATGAAGAAAACAGTACTTAGACAATGGATGTGCTCTTGGTCACCATTGCCGAACTATCTTACCAGATCCATCCCTGACAAAATACGAATTATACATTATTTCATACGTACCACATACCCATATTAGCCACTTCATTGATTGTCCACACTCGAACCATCTTGTTCCGAGTCATTGGAGCTGATGATAATGATCTCGGGAAATGGAACATGAGCCAACCATGCGTCATCGTCTGACTCGACTTCCTCCGGAACCATCAGTGGGACTACCCAATCAAGCACGGTATTCGGACTCTGGGAAACTTCACTTGCAACATCGTCGAGATTCGGAAAAGGAATAACGAATGTGGCTCTCCTACCACGTTCAGAACTCGCTTTGTCATCCTTCGAAGCAATGATGATGGGACATAGTGGGGACGAATCGGGTGTTGGTAACGGCTCCTCATGCTTCAATGATTCATTGCTCCCTGTCGACGACGCCATTGTGTTGATATGAAAATATTTACTGAACCTATGGAGGACTAAATGTATAGACTGCAACATGAATTTTCAAGTGTCAATATTTCAGGTGTAAATGATAATGTGGACTTACCATGCTATATATAGTAGAGTTTTT